CAAAGCCGATGCCGGTTCCAAGCATCCCGTGCCACACCGGCGCCGTCCCTTCTGCGGTCGCGCCGGCTCAGCCCTCTCCGTCGTGGCACTTCCAGCGCCGTCGGCATCTTCCCGGCTGAGCCACCGCGTTTGTCACCCTCAAACTGTCCCCTTCTCATGTCCCCTGGCCGCTCCAGCCACCGGCAACGTGGAGAAGAGACATCGGAAGGAGTTGCCTGATCCACGCGGCACGGATAACAAGAGACCGAGGCAAGCCGAGACGTCTTTCCTCACTCTTGCTCCGTCCAGCAGCTGTGCACGCTTCTGCTTTGGCCGCTTGTCCTCCCCTCGATGGCTGCGAGCCCATCCCGCGGCTCTGACCCCGTCTGTAACCGAGCCACCTTCCCCTCTCTTCCCCTCTCTCCACCACCCGGGGCTTGGGTTGACTTTTCCGAATTAAATCTCCCTCCGGTAAGCCGCACAGCTCCACGAGATTTGCTCCTCGACATCCGTGCTGTCCAAACCGGCTTCACCCCGAGGGTGAAATAAAATATAAATAAAATCCCCGGTTTGTATCCGACACGGGTAAAAAGACTCGATCCGCCCAGAGATCGGAGCCGAATTTAACACTTCAGAGCGAGTCGCGGCTCACCTCAACCCTCCGTTCGGAAAAAGCCGCTCTTGCATCCTCGCGGGAAGAAGCAGCAAAAAAAAAAAACCTCCCCGGCGTCTCTGCCCCCGGCGGGTGAGGAAATGCTCCGGAGCTCCCGAGATCTGCCGTCCGGCTCGCCCACCGCGCCGGTACAGGAGCCAGGATGCGTCCTCGGAGCTTCTCCGCGGCTCTCTGCTCCTTGAGGCAGTTTATCAACGCGGAATTTTGCTGCCTGATGACTTTCCACGCGTCGGCCAGAGGCTGTGGCCAGAAGGTGTCGGGAAGCCAGAAGCATAAAAGCGTCTTTAAAAGGCACGAGATGAATTCTTGGAGGATTCTTAACCTCCAGCTCAGGAGGAGCTTCAGCACCAGAGACGGCTCAGCAACCCCTCGCCTTCGCCTCCTCGTCCCTAATCCCGTCCCTCGTCCCGCTCAGAACGAAGATCCAAGGCGCAAGTGACACAAGACCGATAATTTTATGCAAAAAAAAACCCAAAAAACCTTGTAGGTTTGGGTTTAAAATCATTTTGCCAAGAGGTGACAAAGCAGCTGTCACCCAGACAGGAGGTGACTCTGGGGCAACACCCCCCTCACCCGTCTCCTCCGCCCCAGGACCCGACCTCACAACTCGCTGCTTCTGTTTCTGCTCGGAGCGGGGACAGAGCCCTCGGCGAGACGCAGACGCTCCCTTCGCTGTGACTGCGAATCGCAGTGTCACCGACGGGGACTCTCACATCCCGACCTCGGCTCTGGTTCAGCATCCCCGCGCCGTTCATCCGCCGATTCCGGCATTTGAGCTGCGCTGAGCCGAGCGCGAGGGAAACTCCGTCACCGAAACGTCGGCCAGCCGGGCGGCGGCTTTGAACCGCAGGTGGCACCAGGCGAAGGGACTGTCACCCTCGGTGTCCCTCCAGAGCTCACGGGCGGTCTGTCCCCCTCGGTGTCCCTCCAGAGCTCACGGGCGGACGGTCTGTC